AAAAAAAGGAAAAAAAAAAAAAAAGAAAGAGGTGGGGGCATGACTGGAGAGTCGGTTCAGCCAAAACAAGAGTACTGGCTGGGGCAGCCAGATTCCATCTAGGAGCTACATGGTGGTTCACAGCCACTGTAAGTCCAGCTCCAGATCTGACCCCTTTCTGGCTTCTGCAGACATATAGCCTGGCCAAACACCCACACACACTAAATAAATAAAAAGAAATTTATCCTAATCCAAATGAAAAGCAGCAAAGAAAACAAGAGAACTGGAGGGATGGCTCAGTGATCAAGAACGTTTGCTGCTCCTCAAGAGGATGTGGGTTCATTTTTCTAGTATCTACATCAGGTAACTTCACAACCACCTGGAACTCAGTTCCAGGAGATCAAATGCCCTCATCTGGTCTCTGCAGGTACCTGCACACACAATACACATAGAGCACATCCGTGTGTACATGTACATGCATACAAGTGCATACACATATATACACACTCAAAACCCAAAAACCCCGCCATGGTGGCACATGAGCTAGCTAGCCTAGCTTAATCAGCTCCTAGGCTAGTGAGAGGCCTTGTCTCCAAAACAAACTGCTCGGGACTGGAGAGATGTCTCAGTAAGCAGTTAACTGTGTTCAACGCTCTCACAGAAGTTCACTTCCTTTCTGGTCTCCAGCCTGCATGTGGTATATATATCTGCATGCAGGTTCACATACGGACACACCAATACAAAACAAATAAAACTTAAAAACCAACATATACTCTACTTGCTTCCTCAGTGCTGGGATCACACTATGCCCAATTCCAGTTCCTGTTCTTTTTTTTAAGGTATAGATATATCTTTATTTATATATATGTATGTATACATGTATCTTTATATATATATGTATATATATATGTGTGTGTGTGTATGTGTTCTATCTTCATGTACACATCAGTACCCACTATATATTGTGTGTCATTGTTGTGAGCCACCATGTGGTTGCTGGGAATTGAACCCAGGACCCTTGAAAGAGCAGCCACTGCTCTTAATGGCCGAGCCATCTCTCCAGCCCCCTAATTCCTGTTCTTTTCATTTCTTTTTGAAACAGACTCTCACTGTGTAGCCCTGGCTGTCCTGGAACTTACCATGTAGATAATGCTGGCCTCAAACTCACCAAGATCTGCATGCCTCTGCCTCCCAGGCAGGTGTGTACCACTACATCTGCCTAGTCCCTGCTCTTAAGCACTACAATGCCTTGCTTAAACACACTGCATGGTAAGGTGCAGGGTCCTGATTTCTGATTTCTTTTTTCTAGCTAGCCTAGAATATATAACATTGCAGTTTTCATCCCTAGTACTAAAAACTAGGATGACCCATGAGCAGGCTTCTCAGATTGAACATCTAGTCTCTGCCTGAACATTTCCTGTCTCGAAAAACCAAAAAAAAAAAAAAAAAAAAAAAAGAACATTTCCTTTAATACCCACTATTGTGAGAAAGAATACAATCCAACATGCACTATCAACATGTACTTGTCACTGAACAGATGTCTCAGTATCTATCACAGGAATCCCTTTCACCAAAAGGTTTTTCATTTAAGTACATACGTATGCGTGTGTATGCGTGCGTGTGCGTGCGTGCGTGCGTGTGTGTGTGTGTGTGTGTGTGTGTGTGTGTATCTCTGTGTGCGTAAGTGTATGTGTGCATGCACACATCCCATGATAAGTCTATGAAAACCAGGTCTTTTCTTCCAATACAGAGGTTCTGGGGACCAAACTCAGGTTCGGCAGCAAATATCTTCACCTGGCAAGCTATTTTGATGACCCAGGATTTCTGTGAATTGTTTCTCTAAACATAAGCCTTGGATGTGCTGGTTTTCTCTTTGTTTATGCAGGCTAACTCCCTGGTACTCACAGGCTCTGGGGTTGGCCTACCGGAGCTGGGCTTCCCCTTTTCCCCTCACACAGTTTCCTTATACCCCCGGCATCCAGAGGATTCTATACATGGCTGAGAACCAGGGCTCGGGCGCTAAGGACGGCACAAGAGCTCTGTCAGCACACGGGCAAATGGGATGACTATCCCCACCTTCTCTGAATGCAACTTTGAATTGCACTTGATTGGTTTCTCCATACCCTGATGGCCCAGGTTGTTTTCAATGAAGTGAAATCCCCTAAGTCACTGGTCATTCCCCACCCCACACCCACCACGGCTGTCAGTGGAGCAGAGCTCTCGTTTAAAAAACTGCTATTTGAACCTGAATGTAGAAATGGAGTGATTCTCACAGCATCTGTACACACTAGGCAGGTGCTGCCATTGTATCAGAGCACTTGAGAGGTAACATGAGCTCAAAAGATGAGCAGTCACCCAGCCAGTAAACTTAGGAGTCTGTGGTGGGGGCTGGAGAGATGGCTCAGAGGTTAAGAGCACTGGCTGCTCTTCCAGAGGTCCTGAGTTCAATTCCCAGCA